GTTTTAAAAACTATTGAAAATTATTTAATTTATTCTAAACACAATGGCACAAAATACTGACAAATAAAAATTTACGAACAATTTTCTTCTACCAAAGGGAGATAATTTCCTTTTTTTTCCCCTATAACGACACACAAATTATAGAAGTGACCTACACCCATCATATCTCACTTTGCGTGTTTGTTTGCAAATGCAATATGCTGAGAGGTTGTTTTTGCTATTTGCTTATAAGGCTGCATGCCCTTTAAATATGTTTTAAAATTTGGTTTGGTTTTTGCACTGCAGGCTCACCATATGGCAATAATAGATCAGCCCATGTCCATGTCCATCCTCACACACTAGAATAATGATCAGCTTGTATACATGCAATAACCTACCATATGGAAGTTTTCCGGGATAGCCAGCCAGAGAATTTGCCTGAAATCACAGTATAACATTTTTCATAAAAGGACTTTTTTTTTTTTTAAATAGTGCAGTTATACCTGATTTAAAAAAAAAAAAAAAAAAAAAAAAAAACTTACACACGCCTTTCAATCACACTTTCTTCCATAAAGAGGAACCTTTAATTCAAATGATTGCTTTTATATATTTTTTTGTTTTGAGATTTTCTGATGAGCTTTATCATAATGAGGAAATGATAAACTTATGTCAGTAAAAATGCAAACAAAAGAAAAAAAATAGTGCGACTGACTAAAAAACATTATAACAAACAAGACAAAAATCTCTACGGTTATTGTGCTTAACAAATTTACATTCACAATTCTAGTGCAAAATAAAAAAAAAAAAAACTTAAATGATGCCTTAGTAAAGTGAGTGCCAATTTTCCAATTTACAATATATTGTATGATTTTTCTTTAAAATCTTAGATCATTTTCAAATAAAAGTAATTTTTAAGAATTTTTTATATTGTATAATTTTAAAAAATTATGCAATATCATAAAAACAAATTGTTCTTGAGACATTTACATATAACAAAACCCATTTTATTATATCAAGTAAATTAATTATATTGAAATTCAAACCACATAGACAGAAAAAAAAAATTATTATTCCAATGCGTGATGTTTTTTTATTACTAAAAAAATAACCTAATTCTCCAAAAAACTTTTAAAATTTATTCACAGTAAACTAGTTATCTCCGTAAATTCACTGAAAAAACAGCTTAACATGACAAAAGCTTAATAAATCGTCAAAATGTTTATGTCATTATTAAGAAGAAAGACCAAAGTATTTTTTGATTATTTTATTAAACTTTTTCATCCTTTCTAGCATGTTCAAAATTTTGGTTAAAAATCTTTTGTTTTCTTACATCAGCGATCTATGTAATATTTACCATTAGTGTTTAGCACCTTTTTTTCAGGTGAAAAACACATTGATTAGGAAATTTGCAAAAATCAAATAATTGTCAGATTTTAATGAATCTTTCAGAACTTATTCACATATGAATAAAATTATTTTATATGTTTTTTTTAGAAAATCATGGTAAAAATATATTTTTTATTTTTTTTTACATCTGTTATACACCCACCTTTACTTAATTTTATGAAAATTCAAGAAATTCGTCGACATGTCTTTTATTGATTATATTAGTTAAAAGCAGAAGACTTTGAAGAATATAAATCTATTTTTTGTAAAATCAAATCGCACAGTTACTGAAAATTCAGCTCTTGAATTATACAAAACCCAATAAAACTAAGACATTATTTAATTAAAAAACTTCTAAATGGCTTTTATGAATATATGTTAAGGACAAAATTGTCTGAAGCCAATGAAAGATGAATTTTTACAAAAATTGTTTTCTTTTTTTTTTTCTTTCAATTTTAAATACAAAATGTGATAAAGCTGGTAAATATTTTTAAATTAAGTTCCAATCCATAAATTTTAAGGAATACTGTTTGTTATTAAGTCGATCTGTCTTTACAGGTCATAAATTTGAAATCTTATTACAATCTGCAACACACATGTATTTTATAAAAGAATTTTACACAGTTTTTGAGTGTGCATAAAAAAAAGTTTTTTTTTCCCAAATATATGGATTTATTGTAAGTCATTTTTAATGTCATCTGTTTTAGGAGTTGTTTCTTCTGATGACAATCAACTGACCTAATGTTAGGTTTTATGCTGTGAATATGCGTTAAATTATCTGACTGAATCACATTTTCAAAAGTTTTATTTGTTTTTACATCCTATTTCAATAAATATTTTAATTTAATTTTTTAAATATAAGTAATATGTTTTTCAGTGAAAGACATACTGCAATTATTAATTATTTTCTTTTTTAGTTTCAATTCTAAGGACGGAAGCAAAATAATATTAAAAATAAGGAAAAATAAAAAGTAATACATTAAAAAAAATAACATTTCATAAAAATTAGAGAGGTATCTATAATTATTAGGTACCTATCTTATAAAATTTTATGGTATTATTTTTAATTATTAATTTTTATATCATCTCAGTTGTGAAATTTTTGATAGCATATAAAAACTAATAATAAAAATAATACCATAAAATTTCATAAGAGATGTGTGTAAAAATTAGCAACCTCTCTTATGAAATTTTACCTCATTTTCAGTTATGAAATTTTAAATTTATTTTATTGTTAGTATTTTAAATTTTATTTTTCCAGACATAAGGCTATAAAGCTAAAGTACCTAAAAGAAAAAAAAAAAAAAATAATAAACTATTAGATTGCTGGCTAAGTACGGAAAACTACGTTTTTTGCATACCGCTAGTATGAGTGTCCCGTTGCGCCATCTATCGTAAAATCACAAAGGACAATGCTTCAAAAGATATCATGTGTATACCCATTACTAATCTGGTAATTCATTCCCAGGTATATCCATGAAAATGGAATGCTGTAAAACACACTGGTGCCAGTTTTCTGTGTAATAAAATATGTTGGTTGAAATTTGGCATTTTCTTTAAAAATGGCTGGCCGGATGGGGGCAGCACTGGGCAAATGAGTAGCAGTGAAAGGGTTAAGAATAAAAAAAATTATGTCATTTCTGTTCTTCCGTCTGATAAATTCACCTGACCTAAGTTGTCAATAGATTGATTTAACTGCCAGTTAACACCTCCAAAACAAGTCACTGCAGTTAAGACATGAAAAAAAAGTACATTATTTTTAATCAAAATTTCAATTGTTCGAAAAAGGATGAAAAACTTTAATAAAATAATCAAAAATTATTTGGACCTTTTCTAACAAACATTTAGACAATAAAAACTTCTTTCCAACAAATCTGGGGCCTTTTTCATCATGGTATGCTCTTTTTCAGCAAATTAGTGGAGATACCTACAGTGAATAGTCTATTACAGAACATTAAAAACTAAGCTCAAACAAAATATTGCATCATCTTACAAAAAGAAAAAATAAACGAAGAAAAATCATATTTTTAAAGGGAGACAATCATATTGGCGAATGTCATTTGTCTGAAAATTGGCTTTGTCAAAATAAAATAAATTTTCACTTCATCGAATAGTTTATAGCACTGAGAAATCCAAAGAAAGAAAATTAAAGAGAAATCACTTTTATATCTGAATAGTATTTTTTAAAATTATGTATCATTTAAAAATTTTGTTTATTTACGATAATGAATACCTTTTTTAGTTTTTTGCCATAAATTCATCACTGAAGTCTTCATTCACATACAAAATATTTCGGTTTTTAATTCTAGGAATATTTAAAAACGAGTAAAAAAATAACTAAAAAACAAACCTATTTAAATATTTGTCCTATCCAAAATTATATATGTAAATAAATTTAAATTTTTTCAAAATGTCTTCTGTGTTAATTGGATTAACCTTTTTTTTTTTAATATTTTAATTTCGTTAGCCATAAAAATAACAATCAATTTCCTGGCTTTAACAGATTTCAACATTAAATAATCCTATTAAACAAGCCAATTGACTTTGTTGTCAATCATTCATTATTGTAAATAAGCAACAATCAAATTAACGAGTGTAATTTTTAAACGATACACAACTTATGAAAAGTGACATTCGTATAACACAGTTACCTCCCTTCAATTTTCCGTGTTTGGATTTTTCACTGAACTTGAAACCTTTTGACAAAGATTTGAATTAAGTTTCGGTGAAGTCAATTTTCAGACAAACGAAGTTCACGGTTATTAACTAGACCCCTTTTCAAAATCTATGTTCATCACTTTTAATATTTGACAAAGATTTTTATTCAAATTCCAAAACTGCCATTTTATGATCTTTGGTAAACAGTGTGGATTAAAAATAAAGTATGTACTTTCATTAGAATTTGGACTCACAATCCTTATTTTGGGAGCCTGTATTTTTGGTGATGGTCTTGCTGGGTAGTGTAGTAATGTACAGTAAATGTGATACAAAAATCAGCAGAGGAATAACAAAAGATGTTTTTCAAAAACTGAGCAAAGTATTAAGATGGACAAAAATATTTTTAAAAAAAAAAAAAAAAAACACAACCTGCTATGCAATATCTAATCTCTTCAATGCTGGACAATTTCCCCTCAAAGTTGAAGAAGAAACTTGAAGTGAAAAAAATGTGGTTCTACTGAATAAGTAATTCTAAATGTTGAGAATTCCAAGGACAGAACACATGAGCAATTAGGAAGTTTTAAAGAAACTAGGAAAGAAAGAAATTGATACTTACAATCAGAAAAAAAAAAAAAAAAAATTGTATGATGTATAATGAGAAAAGAGGGTTTGGAGAATTTAATCCTCACAAGACATATTGAAGGTAATATGAGCGATTTATTTTTTCATGGATCATCAAACCTTAGCAGGTTATTTATAGCCAGAAAATATTTTTAGATTACAAGAATTTGGTGGAGATGATGATTTAGTGATACAAGTCTTACTAATTAAACCTATAGGTTAAGAAGAGATGAATTCATACCTTTCTGAAGGGTATTTGCACATAAATGTATATAACAAACCCAACGAGAATTGAAATGCAGCTCTCTGATCTATAATACCAAGACATTATCCATTACACCACTCACATATCAAAGCTTACAGCACCTGATATTCCCAAACAGCCACCCATCAAAGTAATGACCAGACTCAACATTGCTTAACCTCAGTAGTTGTATGGGAACAAGTGTTTCAGTATGGCCATAAGCTGAAAGTAAAACAAATAAAGCAACTAACCTACAAAATGATTTTGTGTGAATGTGTCACTGCCGACACTTGGGTTTGAACACAGATTGCTAGAGAGCAAGCACAGTTGATCTCATCTTGAATAATTAGATCACATGACAGGTAAAGAGAAAGATATATATATATATATATATATATATATATACATATTGATCTCTATCTTGAGGTTTATTAAATCAAACGCCAGAAGGTTTATTAATGAAATATATTTATGTTTGTTTTTTTTTTAAAATATATTATATATATTTATATATTTACACTTGCTTTATATATATATATATATATATATATATATATATGAGAATTATCTGACCGAGTATTGTTTCAAGGAGTTATTATTGTTGTATCTGTGATTTACAAAGTCTCTCCTACAAATGGATATTACTAAAGAATGAATGGTAAAAATGATGGTAAAGAGGTAAAAGTTATTTTAAGCCATGAAATACAGAAGTTGTGGAGAGCCATAATTGCCCACATCCTAAATGGACATAGCACATTAAAAAAATCTTACTAATCTATAATATAAAAATACAATGGGATTTTATACATTTACTGATTAAGTAGCTTAATCTCCCACTTCTCAGTCATCAGCTATTCCATTGTTACAGTAACATGGTATTAATCTACACTAATAAAACATGCCTTCTATGTTACCTTAACAACAGAATATCTCATTAACTGGGAATCAGGCTGCTAATAATTTATGCAAACTAAATTTTAAAAGTTAAATATCAATGGATAATTGATTTTAGTATACAGAAGTCAAGGTGGCTTTAATGTAGAGTTTTCAGATAAACATATCCCTTATGAGGATTTAGAGATTTTTTAAAAATTTGTAAACCTATTTTGTTATTGCATTTAACTTAAGATAGAAGTGGCTAGATCCAACTCGCAAAAGGATTTTGATTGCCCTGCAAACAAATGTTTGGATACAATAATTCAAAAATGATTTTTCTTTAATCAGAATGTTTCATCGACAATTGTCATCATGTTACATTGGCATCAGATTTTGTGTTGTTCCAAGCCCCAAAAGCCCCAAAATGTTTGCATAAGAATTAAATATTTATTAGGCTAATTAATCAAGTGTTTGCTGTTAATAAGAATTAAATAATTTGAAAGATCTTAATTTCAATGTTTTCATTCAACTTTTTAGATTTTCTTAATGCTTTTTATGTTTTAATGATTCTGTCTTTGTGATAGATTTGAAAGATCTTAATGCTGTTAATGTTTTAATGATTCTGTCTTTGTGATAGATTTGAAAGATCTTAATGTTAATGTTTTAAATGTTTTAATGATTCTGTCTTTGTGATAGATTTGAAAGATCTTAATGCTGTCAATGTTTTAATGATTCTGTCTTTGTGATAGATTTGAAAGATCTTAATGCTGTTAATGTTTTAATGATTCTGTCTTTTGATAGAATGATTCTGTCTTTGTGATTTGTTTTAATGTGATAGATTTGAAAGATCTTAATGCTGTCAATGTTTTAATGATTCTGTCTTTGTGATAGATTTGAAAGATCTTAATGCTGTCAATGTTTTAATGATTCTGTCTTTGTGATAGATTTGAAAGATCTTAATGCTTTTAATGTTTTAATGATTCTGTCTTTTGATAGATTTGAAAGATCTTAATTTTAATGTTTTAATGATTCTGTCTTTTGTGATAATTTGAAGATCTTAATGCTGTTAATGTTTTAATGATTCTGTCTTTGTGATAGATTTGAAAAGATCTTAATGCTTTTTATGTTTTAATGATTCTGTCTTTTGATAGATTTGAAAGATCTTAATGCAGTTAATGTTTTAATGATTCTGTCTTTGTGATAGATTTGAAAGATCTTAATGCTGTTAATGTTTTAATGATTCTGTCTTTGTGATAGATTTGAAAGATCTTAATGCTGTTAATGTTTTAATGATTCTGTCTTTGTGATAGATTTGAAAGATCTTAATGCTGTTAATGTTTTAATGATTCTGTCTTTGTGATAGATTTGAAAGATCTTAATGCTGTTAATGTTTTTGAAATTTGAGATCTTAATGTTGTTAATGTTTTAATGATTCTGTCTTTTATAGATTTGAAAGATCTTAATGCTGTTAATGTTTTAATGATTCTGTCTTTTGTGATAGATTTGAAAGATCTTAATGCTTTTAATGTTTTAATGATTCTGTCTTTGTGATAGATTTGAAAGATCTTAATGCTTTTAATGTTTTAATGATTCTGTCTTTTTGATAGATTTGAAAGATTTAATGCTTTTTAGATTTGAAAGAAAGATTAATCTGTTTTTTATGTTTTAATGTCTTTGTGATAGATTTGAAAGATCTTAATTTTAATGTTTTAATGATTCTGTCTTTTGTGATAGATTTGAAAGATCTTAATGCTTTTTATGTTTTAATGATTCTGTCTTTGTGATAGATTTGAAAGATCTTAATGCTTTTAATGTTTTAATGATTCTGTCTTTGTGATAGATTTGAAAAGATCTTAATGCTTTTAATGTTTTAATGATTCTGTCTTTGTGATAGATTTGAAAGATCTTAAATGTTTTAATGATTCTGTCTTTGTGATAGATTTGAAAGATCTTAATGCTTTTATGTTTTAATGATTCTGTCTTTGTGATAGATTTGAAAGATCTTAATGCTGTTAATGTTTTAATGATTCTGTCTTGTAGATTTGATCTTAATGCTTTTTATGTTTTAATGATTTCGATTTGAAAGATCTTAATAGATTTGAAAGATCTTAAATGTTTTAATGATTCTGTCTTTGTGATAGATTTGAAAGATCTTAATGCTATTAATGTTTTAATGATTCTGTCTTTTGTGATAGATTTGAAAGATCTTAATGCTGTTAATGTTAATGTTTTAATGATTCTGTCTTTGTGATAGATTTGAAAGATCTTAATGCTGTCAATGTTTTAATGATCTTTTTGTGATAGATTTGAAAGATCTTAATGCTTTTTATGTTTTAATGATTTTGTCTTTGATGATAGATCTTAATGCTTTTTTGAAAGATCTTAATGCTGTCAATGTTTTAATGATTCTGTTTTTTAATGATTCTGTCCAGCAGATAGATTTGAAAGATCTTAATGCTGTTAATGTTTTAATGATTCTGTCTTTGTGATAGATTTGAAAGATCTTAATGCTGTTAATGTTTTAATGATTCTGTCTTTGTGATAGATTTGAAAGATCTTAATGCTTTTAATGTTTTAATGATTCTGTCTTTGTGATAGATTTGAAAGATCTTAATGCTGTTAATGTTTTTTATGTTTTAATGATTCTGTCTTTAATGATTCTGTCTTTGTGATAGATTTGAAAGATTTAATGCTTTTATGTTTTAATGATTCTGTTTGTGATAGATTTGAAAGATCTTAATGCTTTTTATGTTTTAATGATTCTGTCTTTGTGATAGATTTGAAAGATCTTAATGCTTTTAATGTTTTAATGATTCTGTCTTTGTGATAGATTTGAAAGATCTTAATGCTGTTAATGTTTTAATGATTCTGTCTTTGTGATAGATTTGAAAGATCTTAATGCTTTTTATGTTTTAATGATTCTGTCTTTGAAATACCTTCAGTGAAATAAATTGTACATGGAGTTCTTTAATTACTAATTGTTTTTATGGCTTAAGCACAAATTGTTTATTTTTTGCATACATTATTTATTGATCTTTAGCAAAAAAATGTATTTAATTGGATAATTTCAATATTTCAAATATTTTTATGGCATTTATCTATTATACCATCCACACATTAATACACAATCTGCTGCCGAGGAAGTAAAAAAACTTGCTTCCCCCAAAATTTTAGCAGACACTACTGAAGAGTTACTTCCCTTTACATTTCTCAATAGAACTTTGTCAAATTTTTAAATATTGAGATATTTATTTTATTTTTTTTTTAATCAATTCACCCCAAGCAAGGTGATAATACCAACATGATGCAAGGGAGTAAAAGAGAATGAGAAAACTTGAGAAGGAACAGGAAACCCAATCCTAAACAGGAAAACAAGGGATAAGCCTCTACACCTGTTCAAAAAAAAAATAGGGAGGTAATAATAGTTTAGTGATACAAGTCTTATTAATTAATCCATAACTGGGGGGAGAAGAGTTGGATTCATGCCTTTCCTAAGGGTATTTGCTTTTAAGTGAATATAACAAATTGGCTCTCCAATTAACAATTCAAAGCTGTTATCCATTCCATTGCACATACAACCAAGCTTACATGAAACAAATAGTTACCAATACGGATTATGTGTGTGCACACACACAATATTCCTACATATTTCTGTGTCAATATGTCTCCCTAATGCAAAACTTTTATGTTATACCCAGATTTTCATATCAGAATAGAGATAGCACAAGAAAAATACATTATCTTTTCCAGATGATAACTTGATTTTAATCTTGAATTTCCCATGTACAAAGAATATTTATGGAATTAAACATACAATTGGCTTCAGTAAATGGAAAATTATCCAATAGCATTTCCATGCATTTGTTACTGTGAATATATATATATATATATATATATATATATATATATATATTTCATGTCTATGGTGTTTTTTCTCTTTTGTTGATTGAAAAGAATTTAGTGCAAATAATTGGTTCCTTCTTTCATGCACAACCATGTGAAAATTTTCTTTAAAAAAAAAATAAAATAAAATAATAATATAATATATAAATAAATAAATTGGATCTTTTAAAAATTCAGAACCAGGCCCGATTCAAAAACTCATTCAATAAACTAACCTTTAGGCTTTTCTGGTTGGGTTTTTCTAAAACTATTCCGGACACAGGATTTCCTCAAGTTTGCAGGAATGGTGAAGCCTAGAATAAGATAAAATTGAAATACTTTTTCTTAAAAGTTTTCTAAGACATGAATGGACTTCAAACATTGACTGAAATAATATAAAAATAATGGAATTAAAACACTTTTACAAACTGTTGTGAATGTCATATTGAAAGTATCACAGACATTACAAATGATTTAATAAATTAAAAAGACAAATTAAAGACATGCATTTCCATGCACTTTTGTTCAATAAAGATACTGTCATTGTATTTAGCTAAAAATGCTTCATATTTTACTTTTTAAATTATAATTTTTATGAACTTAGTTGCTTCACTCTTGTTTGGTGTGTGTGTGTGTGTGTGTATATATATATATCTTTTGCAAAAACGTTCATGAAAATATCTTTCAAAAATAATATCCAATAATGCATTTCATCCCTAATGGCTCCATGAGATGGATAACAAAAAGATGTGTTGCATGTGTATGCATTTGTGTGTGTTTAAAATAATTAAATCTTATCTCATTTTTTCCCAAGCTAGCGTTGCTCAAGAATAAAAAGAGAAAGAAAATGAGTGACTTTTAAAAAAAAATCGTTTAACATTTTATATGAACATTTTTCCAAATGTCAATAACTTATAGCTGTCAGGATTGCATACCCAAATCTATTACACATACACACACACATATATATATATATATATATATATATATATATATATATATATATATATATATATATTAGAGAGAGAGAAAAGGAGAATTAATACAAATATAATGTGTGCTACTTAGCTGATTGGTGGCTTTTTATTCCTCATTTTACTAACCGGCCTTATATATATATATATATATATATATATATTTTATAGCAAAAAAAGAAAGAACAGTAAGATATATAATCTGGTGTTCTTATTGATATTCTTATTTTTACAAAACAGTATTCAATGTAAATTTACAGAGCATAAATATTATAAATTAACCAATTTAAAAATATCGTTCCATCCATTGCCATGTTTCAAAAACAAACTAACAACTTCAAATTACATAATTAAATTAAAAGCATTAGTTCTGTTTTAAATTCAGTAAATTTCAAAATAAGTTATTCAAAAATTTGCTTGAAAATGCAACAGAACTAGGGCTTTTAATTTAATTATATAATTGAATTTGAAGTTGTTAATTTCTGTTTTTAAAACATGGTAATTCCTCTGTAGCAATGGAACCATATTTTTAAATCAGTTAATTCATTATATAAATATATATATATATATATATATATATATATATATATATACTGTGTGTCTACCATATGTTTAACTGTTTATACAAGATATACAATACACAAATTGACTGATACCAGATCCTTAAAATCAACCATGCTAACTTGTATTTAACTAAATATATCAGATGACTACTTTTTTTTTTTTTTATTCCAACAAAAATAAAAAAAATGAGAAAAATCCTCCGATTTTTTTTTCTACTCTTAACAGCACATTTAAGTTAACCAGCAAAGTTTCTATAGAAAGAAAAATGCATGAGAATTAATATTAACATTTTAAACCATAAGATAATTATGTATTATAAAAACAAAAATTAAATAAAAATGGTCAGGTTACCAGTTATTTGAAATCTTACCATTTTCTTGATCACTCTTAACTTTTCTTCGTTCTTCATCAAAAGCTTTGAGCCACCGATCTTTCTCTACAGCATTTTTACTAAACACTAAAAAGGATTTGTTTCTCTTGTCATCATGAAGTTTCCAGCCATTTTTCACATAAACATTAAATTGGGCATCTGACAAAAGAAAACAATTGATCAAAAATCAATTTTTCAAACAATTGAATATATAACACATAAAAGGTTAATGGTCAGAGTTTAATCAGACCAGGAAACAGTATTAAAAAAATGCTCAATGCACATGTGAAAAAAAAAATAAGAACATCTAGAGCTTTTAACTTTAAAAATCAGATCAGTTGAATCAACTGATGATTTTTAAAGCGTGTGTGTATAATATATATGTATGTGTGTGTGTGTGTGTGTATATATATATATATATATATATATATATATATATATATATATAAATAAATAATGACCAAAGGAAAACTTCTTTTGCCTGAAGGATTTTATTGAGGTATCTTATTTTGCAACATATATTTATAAACTGGAGTAAAAACATTCAAATTTTAAAAGTTAAGAATGCTCAAAAAAAAAAAAAAAAAAAAAAAAAAAAGTCAAGGTAAAAGATGGAGGATGCTAAGTGATTTAATTTAATGCCTAATAAATTTAATGTGAGTAAATATTATTGTTGTAGCATACCTATGGACGATAATGGGTATGTCCCCATTCCTATAAATACAGTAGTGAATACTATATGTGTTGGTCTGCAGTCTCCAGTTGGAGATTCATTGTGGAATTCACTTGATTTGCTTCTAGCAGTTTACTACTTTTTCTACCTGCTGCTGGCAAATCTTATATATGTTGTTCTTGTCCTAAGTATTATCATTCATTACCAACCTTCATGTGATTATTCTATTCAGTAGCCTTCCCTAGGTTACAATAGTTATTGCTGAATTTTTATTATTTGTTTATATTTATTTATTTTAAAGAAAATGTTTTCCTTTTGTCTTTATTCATATTGTCTTTTCACAGAGATATAAATAAATATACATATTATCGTTCACCGGTTAGACAACACAGAGTTTCATGCACAACACAATCTCTATGTGTTTGGTAGTGACTGACAATATATTCTGGAAAAAAACTTGCATTAGATTGACAAATATGGAAAAGTATGGTTGCTACTGGTGCCATAAATTTCAAGAACAGCAGGATAGAATATGCACAACAAAAACATGAAGGCAGATATATGAGCAGCATCAACCCTCTCCCAGAACACGGATTGAAGGAATCTCTTACATATGATCAATGCGACTGCATTTGCTTTTCAAAAGTAGGTCGTCTCAGTCACTTGTAGAGTCATTGTGATGTCAACTACCAATATGACATCAACTACCGATATGACATCCCTGATGGTCATACGTGTACAATCTGCCATAAAGTGTGTTGATCATCCATTGAACACAACATTTCCACAACAAGCATCCAGAAATCTGCAGCAGGACAGCTGACATGTCAGCATTGTGCAAAGAACTGCAGGATCTTGTAAGTCTCAAAAGCCATTTAAGGTGTCATCAACGATGAAATGATGATATTTAGAATGTGTGAAAAATTAAGAAGGTTTGAGTGCAAGAGATGATCTTACTCAGTCATGAGTTGACTTTTCCATCACATTTTTTTAATATATATATATATATATATATATATATATATATATATATATATATATATATATATATATACATATATATATATATATTTATATACACATACATACACACACACATATATATATATATATATATATATATATATGACACACAGATACAAAATGACTGGGAAAACCTAGCTTTAGATCATTCAACCTGGAAGAAAGCAGTGCACAATGGTAAGATGGAGTTTGAGCAGAACCAAACTATGCAAGAGAGAGAGAAGTCTTCATAAGGGTTCTGGAAATGTTTCTATACAATTTGATATAATGTGCAATCAATGTGGCAGAGTCTGTCTTGGTCAGGCAGGCTTCAAAAATAATTGAAGACAACACACAAATAAGTTATTCATTGCACATTAGAAAGCATTTATATAACAACTACTGCAAAAGACATTCAACTCTGCCACATGTGCACAAGATAGTGTAAAATCGTAGCAGGACTAAAAAGCCATTTCCACATTGCCCATATTTAAGGAGGAATTAAGTGATGACATTGCTCAAAATAGAGTCATAGGCATCATCATCAGCATCATATATCTCCAAACATGTTTTATTAAATAACAGTGACAAGGTCAGTTCGTTCAACTTTTTATATTGTCTTTCCAATTTTCGACTGTTCAAAAGTTTTTTTTTTTTCTTTTGTTACATTTGAGTATTTTCTACTATCAAAGTCATTGTTAAGAATTGTAATTGCTTAGTATGGTACAAAATGTATTTGACTAAATTCTGGTGTTTTTTTATTTGCTGGAATTAGAATTTTTAGTCAACTGAAGGTGATATCATCTGCAAGAGTCAAACAAAAAACATGTATTGAGAATTTATACATGTTATTCTAATTGTGATTGAGAATGTCAGAGGTTATATAAACAGCTTCTGTTCCTTTGTCTGGTTGCTTTTTAGGTCTCAAAAGTGGATCAGAAAAAAAAATACAAAGCAAATTATCTGCTTGTTAATACCAACTGACAGCTATTATTATTTTAGTATCGTCCTCCTGTTTCAGAATTATTAGTACTAACAGTCATGATACAAATTTCTGTTCATTTGCACTCTACCTACCTAAACGCTGCCCAGACCCCAACCCCAGGTTCTGTCTACAGGTAATCCCTTACCTTTTTTCTTGTGGGATGTTTTTATATCTGTTCTTACCTCTCTTCTTGAGAAATGACACTGTGAAAGCAGAAATCTAAGCTTTCTGTTTTGCAAGCAAGATGAGTTCTTATATTTTGTGATATATATTTCTTGCTGTTTAAAATAAAAAAGCATGTCACCTAATCTTTATCATATAAACATTAACATTTCCATTTGGGTTGCATAGTAGAAACCCAGTAGCAACAGGGCCAACAATAACCGAGTAGTATTAAAATAAAATTAAAAAAAAAATGTATTTATAAGTCCGCCATTTGTCCAAACGTTAGTTATTGCTGTCACACTGGATCTGGTGATTCCATTATATATTTAGAAATTCTTGATAAAATACAAAGAAGAATCTGCAATGTTATTGGTCCTGACCTGGCATCTTGGCATCATTCACTTTTCCTACTACCAAAACACATTCCATGTGCCTTTTTCTATAAATATTTTCATGGTAGTTGTTCTGATAACCTTTACTCTATGGTACTTTCACTTTATGAATTTAAGTGCAGTACTAGATTGGCAGCTAGGTCTCATCATTTTAAAATTGAAATGGCTAGATGTAACCGTAAATTATACAGTTTTTCAATTGTGAAACTCTTCCAGCTTCTTGCTTTCCAGTGAAGTTTGATCTTCAAAATGGTAAATCCGATGCCATTTGCTATCTTCTGCATAATGGGTTCTTAATCCCAGAGTTCTGGATTCAATTTTCTCTACTATCTTTTCTTAGTAATGTTTTATTTTTCTTATATTCTGTCACAGAAACTCTTCCAACCCTTTTGCATCTTAGTGGCTATCTTTGTCTTCTTAGGAAATTATTGAAATAAAATGATTCTGTGATCACCCCTTTATCTTAGTGGATAGCAGTGAAAGGAGAAACAATCTAGTGATCACTATATGTGGATAGCAGCAGGAGAACAATCTACCCCAACTTAAGGGTTTAATTCAAAATTTCATGCGAGTTACTGGGACTGACAGACACCTGAAAAAGTCTGGTGGCCACAATGATCAAAACATTATGATCATAACAACAGAGATAAAGATCTTAATTTTACTGTAATGTAAATAACAATGTAACATTATCAGAATTAAAGAATAGAAGAATTTAAATTAAACCTAAGGAAGAAAGAGTCTTGAAATGAAAGCAGTGATTTTTTTTTAACACAATTATTATATAACATAATTATAACATAAGAATGACTGTATAAGGAGTTCTAAACTCCTGGTAGGGCCACCTTTGGCAGCAAGGTTGAAGACAAAGATCCAGATTAAGTGTGACCGACCCCAACTGTAGAACATGCAAATGATGATTACAACAGATCTCAGCAGTTGAACCAGCAGATGAAGAGGGCTATGCATAACAGACATGCCACAGAAGGCATGGCTCAAAACTGAGTCAGCAGCAATCCATTGCAGTTTCATAACTGAATTCTGAATGTCTCATTCCATCTGTGTCATAGAGGAAGGTCATGAAATCAAGTGTGAGGATCACTTCCTGACAAGTTCAGGTCCACCTTAAACAAATTTACATCATTGGCAATTTCTTCCACATTGATTTTCTTTCACCTCCAACCAACTCTTGGAAAGCCAAATGGTGATACGAAATGAATCACAGGAGCAGGTTTTGATGAAAACAGAGGCTTCTAATTCTGAACCTGGCAAATTTAGTAATCAACACCATCATCATAAAGGAAGCGATCAGCAAAAAAGAAATTAAATTCTTAGATATGAAATAAAGCTGCTGTTAGCAATAACAAAAGCAAGATGGCTGACTATTTCTCAAAAGCTGAAATCTCTGGAAGCCAACACATTCAAGCCAAGAGACTTTTTGCAAATTCAGACATAGTACATCTTGTTCTTATTTAGTGATCTCATTTATTGCTTACTTTGTTTTTAGAGTCTAAGTTTGCACGACCAAGCCCAGGGATTAAACTCACAATTACTGACTAACCACATTCACAAACCCAAGCTTTAATCTAGTAGGCTATTGTACCATGGGACAATCATGAGTATAGAATTAGACATGTGCAGCAGAATAAGAATAATCTACCTACTGTGAATAAAATAAAAGCTTTAGTTCTCAATACAAAGAGAAATAATAACTAGAGAGACTCATGAAAATTTCAGAGTTTTCCTATTTTAATTTTCTGATGAATTTTAATTCTTCAGTTAATAATTGCATAAGCTCATGGCAAGTTCTACGATAAAATATAAATAGAAATTCTCTGTTGCATCATCAAATATTTGAGCTTAACAACTTTAACAAAATATTGTAATAACAACCATAAATATGAATGCTGGTTGTTATTTTAAGAAGTGGGTACAAATGAAAAGATTTGAAATTGACAATTTTTTCATTTCACTAAAACAGTCATTAAACGCTGTCTTTCTTTCATTTGTATATCTGTTTTTCTACACAATCAAAACAGAATAGTCTATTATTAAGCAGGTATTGGCAGGAGATTTTACATACTTCTACCTTCCATTCTTTCTTTCTAGCCAAATCCTCATTTTACAAACATTTCTCTTAATAATTTTGAAATAATTCAGCAGACTGTTATATTATTCATGGTAACTAGAATTTTGGTGGCACTTTTATCACGGTCGCCATTGCTTTTCTGCCTTTCGACCGAGATCAAAATGTAGTATCTTATCAGTTTAATCTGATTTCCTCTGACAACTGGATTCTAGCTTCTTTCTTTCACTGAATCCAAGTAGTGTCTTTTCTGCTGCTTCACATGCAATCAAAACAAAATAGTTCATTATTTATGAGGTATTGGCAGGGTGTAACGGTCGTGCAAACTCACAAAAAGAAGGACAAGCAAAATTATAATAGGATTAGTAATGAAATAGAATAGTTCTGCTGACTTATATGAAAAGTAAAAAACCCACGGAAGATTAGATGTAAAAATATTCATGAAACTGAATACAGAGTCATATAAGTGAACTATTACTAATAATTACATAGCATGCATGTGCACACACATACTGTAAAAAGAAAGTTATTTGTCCATGAAGAAATTTTCAAAGGCAATAATGAAGAGCCATATACTTAAAAAAGCATTAAGTGTTATTCAAGGATAATTAACTTTTCAAAAGTTATTTCAGGGCAAAGATTCAGCTGTTTTCAGAAACACAGACACTATATATATATATATATATATATATATATATATTGAGAGAGAGATAGGCAGGACCTGCAAAGCAACAGGTCATTTGAATTCAGAGTTTTCCTTCTCCTAGACTGGTTGCCATGCTGTTTACCCATAGCTGGAAAGGAGATATTAGCATCTAAGTGAATGCAATGAACTCAACCCTCCAATTCATCAATCTGTTATCCATTGCTCCACCACATGCATACACACACGTTTATATATAAATAAAGAGTGGATATTGAAGTCAACAGTGTATTGAATGGCAACAGCCTGTTCCAGGCTTCAATGAAATCATTAGGCCATGTGTTTTGGCTGGTATCTTAACTATTTTCTTATGTTAGTCATTACAGAAAACAAGTTCAGATATTTCCAGTTTATTGTGTAGGCAGGAACAGTTATATTTTAAATTATTCTAAAGTAGAAATAATTATGAACCAAAATCCCTTCTTTTTTTATAGCTATTATGTAGGGTTATTTTTTAAGTTCTAACTAATTAATTATTGATTATTTTAGTGTATTAATTATTATTGATTACTTCAAAATATTTTGCATTTATGCATTAATTATTTGCTTCTGATTATTATTAAATTTACGTTGTTGTGGTTATGTCTACATTCATACAATTTGTTAATTTGTTTATTATTTTAACTTTTACCTTATATATATATATATATATATATATATATATATATATATACACACACACACTCTTTTACACACACAGACATATATATATATATGTGTGTGTGTGTGTATGCATGTGTAAAAGAGCTTAAACACCAAGTGGTGACAGTCTGTTTCATGCTTCAATCTTCAGGCCATGTGTGTTGGGTTGTAGCTGGACTATTTTGCATGTTGGTCATTATGGGTAGCAAGGCCAGGTATTTCTGGTTTATTGTATTATCCTAATTAATTATAGCCATGGGTTGTTTGTTAAATATATATATATATATATATATATATATATATATATATATATATATATATATACACACACACACATGCAACACACACACAATCATTGGCACAAATTAAATTGACTGCTCATAAAAAATAGGTAAAATCTGTGGGAAATAATTTCTGTAGATTAGCATTTTATAGACCTTCCTTTAGCCACAGAAAAATATTGATTTTTTTTTTTTATCCTTTGAGAAAGGACATCCTATTCATAATAATGATAAATTGTAAAATCAGTCCCTGATTTTTACATCTTTATTGTACTTAGCTGATATTTACAAATGTCATTTCAATGATATTTTCAATTTTTCAGGAGTTTAATATTTTTTTTTAATTTTTAATAGAAAAATGTTTTTTAGTAATTTTTTTTTTTCAGAAGCTCATGCACAAAGATTGGAGATTAATAATTATTTTTCTGAAATAAAAAAATAAACAGATACAAAATTTTATTAATTTATAGTAATTTTTGTTACTTAATTCAAAATGTATGTCTCCATTTATTTATTTAAAAAGAAATCTTTTTTTAAACTTTCCCCTCAAAATGTCCGTTTTCAAGTTCAATAGCTCTATAAAAGTCAGCGATCAATTTGACACTATATCAATATTATAAACAAGACACCCTTCTAAATTGACAAAAAAATGTTTTGTTTTTTTTTAGTCTGGCAAGTGTTGTAGCCTAAAGAAAATTTACAGTATACTAATCTACAAAACTTCCCCCTCCATCACCACCCAAAAAATTACTTTCTCTATTTTTAAAAAGTAAACAAGTCTATGTAGTGTTCAACCATCAAAGACCGATATCATTCAGGCCTAAAAGGTTCCAGTGGAAATCAAAATAAGTTTCCCCTCGGTACTGAGAACATGTTTTAGCTATAGGACTGGGCAAACTAATAATTATATAACAAAAGCTCAGCTATCACTGACCTGGATATATTGACGTAACTATGTAAATTATCCCAAATTCTTTTTCAAATACACACAAATTTCATTATTTTAATATTGCAAAGTGACCAATAAAGATTTAAACTGTTGATAGTACTTGAGACTATTAGGCTAAAGTAGTATCTTTTAAGATTTCCTGTTATTCTATGAACGGCCTACTGTATATACTAGTGTATAAGCTGACTTCATGTGAGGTATGAAGATTTTTTTAGCATGAATTTTAATGCCTCCAGAAAAAAATTTACCTGTATGCCTCACCCTATTTTTTTTGCATAAAAAATTGATCATGAAGTCACACTATACTTGAGTTTATATGGTATGCTTTTGCCCTTCTCTATAGAGAAGGGCAAAACAATTCAAAAGAAAAGGCATGAAAACTCACCCCTTCCATCAGCAACTTGAGAAATCTTGCTATGATCTAAATATATTCTTCCCCTAAATGAGAAAGAATTTTTCTTCAGTAGATCCTGAAATAAGAATAAAAAGAAACAAGATTAAAAATTTTTTTTTAAATCGCAACAAAAAAGGGAAAAAAAAAAATGAAAAGAAAATGGAGAAAAACATTTAATAGTAGAGTAGAAGAAATTAGAATTAAGTTTTTCTTAAGTGGAAGACAAACTAGGACACACAGACAGAATTTCAAGCTTAACCCTCAAACATTAAAAGAGGAAGCCAGAAAAAGGAAATAGATGAGATTATATTACTTAACAAAAAGACCAAACCCAAAAATGATGGCTTACCACAGGCTAATGGAAAATGCCTCCATTTTTAACTTCAATTTATATTAATTTCTACTTTTTATTCTTATTTATTTTTAACCTTAAATCTTTCAAGACCTTTCCCTAAATTCATTACATTCTCATAGAAATTTTCAACATTTTAAAAGTCTGCAGAAGTAATAACGCACTTAGTAGCATTAATCTTAATAATAGAGTTAATGAAAGCTGAAAATTATTTTAATTTTTAATCATATATATATATATATATATATATATATATATATATATATATATAATAAAATGAAATGGATTAAGTCAAACAATTATTTAATATATTTTCTGTTTATACATTATTTTTATATATATAATTTATTTAAGTAAATGCTCAATTTTTTAATTAAACAGTATAAATTACATTTATCGGTCTGGCAAAATTAAGTAGAAAATCAGACAGTAATCGAACCTGTAAACCTAATGAAAACTATCATTGGATCTGACAGGCTGCTAACCATTCAGCCACAAAAAAGTGTGATTAGCAAAGTCTGAATTACTGCCTAAATACAATTAATACTGTTTAATTAAAAAATGGAGATTTTAATTAAACTATAGAGCATTTAAGCAATATATATATATATATATATATATATATATATTGCTTACTGCTATAAACATTATATTTAGTGGGTATATATATCATTTTTGAGCAATGAAATTAATATCAACCAGCTGCTAACTAGTAAGACACACTTGATCTCTAGGCTGACAATTCACTGTACTCAATAAATATAACATTTCTAATAAGAAATGATCGCATATTAAAAATCATAATTGCTTTAAAAATTTATATATATATATATATATATATATATATATATATATATATATATATATATATATATATATATATCTCCAACCAGAAGACATCGAATATCTTAAATCAATAGATTAAAAGGTTAATGATAAGACACCTAACAGAGACAGGCGACTTGTGGAGCTGACTTTTGCCATGGGTTACTTCCTTCCTTTGAAGATGATTCCAGATGGAATTTAAGGTGTGGGAGAAATTAATAAAGTTCAGGAGAGAACCATAATCTCTAATATATATATATATATATATTGTTAGAATGTTCGCTTTCTGACTATAAGACCTGGGTTTGAATCTCACGATGGTCAATTTGTCAGGAAGGCGACTTATTGGACTGGATCAAGATCAATCCTAGCCTGCAGTACCTTTGGAAAGTGCCTGAAAACCATATCACGAGTTGATCCAAGCCTTGTGAGTGAAACTGGGGAGACAGAACACTTAGGGGCCGTCAATAGCTGTGCTAGCACAAAGTCACAAATCATCATGACCGAGGGTTTGAGTGGGCTGGTGTTGTTCAGATTGTTGCTCATTCTAGATAACACACACTCTCCCAGAAACTGTAACTAAGATCTGCTCAGCATAGTTGCAGTATAAACCACAGGTGGGCTCTGTGGGTGTTGAAGAAACACAAAATGTGTCTGAGTGAGGGTCTGTAATAGGGATTGGCTAGCCGCCCTAGTAGACAGGTATTCTCAAATACGAGTGGCCAGTTATTATTATTATTACACATTATATATATATATATATATATATATATATATAGATAGATAGATAGATAGATAATATTAGTGATAAATATACACATACATATGCAAAATATATAGATATATATACATAGGTGCATACACATATATGTATATTTTTTGAATAAAAAATTCGAGAGGATAGAATCCAGGTAAAACTCAATGTCCAGGATATATTATAAATTAATTGATTTAAAAAATTTTTTAAGCTACACAGTTCTAAACATGTTTCAAAAAATTTTGAAACATGGTTAGAACTGTGTAGCAAAAAAAATTATTTTAAATCAATTAATTTATAATATTAATGCTATGTAAATTTACATTGAGCACTATTTTGTAAAATAAAAATATCTATAAGAACACCAGATTATATATCTTACTGTTCTTTCTTTTTATTTTTATATATATATATATATATATATATATATATATATATATATATATATATATATATATATATATATATATATATATATATATATATATATATATATATATAGCTGTGGATATTTATATATATATATATATATACAGTGCTCAATATCAAAATAATATTAAAAATAGAGCATTAATGTTATATAAAAAATGATTACTTAACATAAGTGCAAAGTGACTACAACAGCCTTGACCAGAATTTGAACACAACTAGACAATTCCATTTTTCACATGGCTAACCATTGTGCCACCTATATTCGTAATAATAGTCAAGTTAATTAAATTATTACTATTATTATCTTATTTTTATTCTGATAATGATTGTTATTTCTGATTTTTAGAGGCAATTTATCTCTTCATATTCAAGGACTGATTATTGGTTTTACACCACCTAAGTCACCAGCATCATTTTAGAAAAAGAATAAAAAATGAAATGAAATTCAGTTACATACCTTCCGGCAGTAGATGAGCTGATGATCAAATAAAAAGAAATATCGTTCCTGGGTCCAACCACTTGAATTGACTTTGCTTAATTCCCCAGAATAAATTAATTCAGAACTTGTTTCCAGTAAATCTGGACCCTGCAATAATCAGGAGATTAACAATTTTAAATCTTTTCATATCCATTTATATAAAAAAAAAAAAAAAAAGTAATTTAAAAACATCTTCAAATTGCATATAACAAACAAAGACCTGAAAGAAATAAATAAAAGCTTTAAGTCTCTCTCTCTCTCTCTATATATATATATATATATTTTGGTGTTTCAAAGATAAGAAATATTTACTTTCATAGTATATAGTTAAAATTTTCAAAAAGAGGATCTGTTATCATGATTGCAAATGCCATGACACTGATGGGTCATGGAGGCACCACATGTACTGCAACCACAGTACATGTGGTACAAGATAGCCTGATGGAACCCAACCTTCTCCAAGCCAGTTTTTGAATTCAGTTTTCCTTTTCCCAAACTGGTTGCCACACAAGGCTGTAGAACCCAGTCTGTGCTGCTATTTACTCATAGCTGGGAGGCAGGGAGATGTAGAGTATTCATACCTTTCCCCAAGGGTATTAGCACGTAAGTGAATGTGATGAATCCGACTAGAACTTGAACTCGGCTCTCCAATTCTTCAATCTAAACCACAATACGTTACACCACCATGCCTTCATGCAGTTATATCTTATATTACAAAAACACATTTTGTATAACTGCAAAAGAAGTGTTTGCACATATTTTAATCACTTTTAAACATTTCTTATATATATATATATATATATATATATATATATATATATATATATATCAATCCATATCTTGACATGTAGATTTTAGTTGAATTCTGATCTAAAATTTATAATGTTCAATCTGTGTGACTGATATTGACTACTGACTGAGATTTATATATATATATATATATATATATATATATATATATATATATATATATATATATATATATATATACATATGTATAGATAATATTAGTGGTCAATATATATATATATATATATATATATATATATATATATATACACACACATATATATGTATAGATAATATTATAGTGGTCAATATATATATATATATATATATATACACATATGTATAGATAATATTAGTGGTCAATATATATATATATATATATATATATACACATACATATGTATAGATATTAGTGGTCAATATATATATATATATATATATATATATATAGATAATATTAGTGGTCTATATATATAGATAATATTAGTGGTATATATATATATAGATAATATATATATATATATATATATAGATAATATTATATATATATATATATATATATATATATATATATATATATATATATATATATATATATATATATATATATATATATATATATATATATATATATATATATATATAATATTAGTATTCATATATATATATATATATATATAGATAATATTAGTGATCATATATATATATATATAGATAGATAGATAATATTAGTGGTCAATATATATATATATATAGATAGATATAATATTAGTGGTCAATATATATATATATATATATATATATATATATATATATATATATATAAATCATATTTTCCAATTTCTTTTTGAATTTGTAGGTCTGATGAATTGGATTGTGATTACGATTCCAATGTAATAAATTATAACCATGGAATATTAGTGTTTGAGCCTTTTATATATATATATATATATATAAAGTGGCAAACTACAAGTTCAACTATTCCAAATCACACTTGTTGCAGGTTAATTAAAAGATTGAAATGCTCACCTCCCAATCTTCAACGGTTGCTTGCCATTGTGCTATTTTTTCAATGCTCTCCATCCTTCTTTTCCTTTCATTGATGAGACAAGCAATTTTCTTCATTGCATCAAGGGCTTCACCTACATCCTGAAAATCAGCATGCTCAGTGGATGTGTATTTTAAAAGTTCCGCTAACTGCAGTGGGTATTTGCAAATCTTTTGCACAGGAGTCAATAAGAATCCTTCTAATGGTATCTGCTTCATTTCTTGAAGGAGACGGCAACCCTATAATAAGAAAAATAAACATCAAATTAGTAAGTGCAGAAAAAAAACACTATTGGGTTAATTTCTTTTTGTTTTTTTTAAAGCTCTTAGTTTTAACAATACTGTTCGTTTCAGATGCATTCAGGCAGAGATCTCATTGATTTCTTGAATATATTATTCAGAATTAAGTCTTTAATGAGTTTTTAATTAAAATTAAACATTTTCTTGAGTATTGAACAATTTTATCTTTTGTAAATTAAAAAAATAACTTCCACAATTATTTATTAGCAAACAAACATATGCAGATATATAAAAAAAAAAAAAAAAGCAAGAAATAAGCTTGGCATAAATTTCAAGAATCTGGAAGAAAAACACTAGACTTACTTGAAATTAAACATTATTTATGGACTTTATTTATAATGTTTTTATAAACAATCTTTTTTTTAAACTAAAGTTCACTGAATACAAAGTTCAAGAACCACTCAAGGTAGACACTTACTGAATGTGGTGTGTGATATAATTTTAAGAGAAGGTAGAAGGAAAGTAATATTATGAGATTAAGGAGGAGAGAGAAAAATTGAAAATATCAGAGAAAACATTGGGGAGTTAGAGAGAGAGGAAAACATGGAAAAGCGAAAGATGACCCAGACTGAGAGAAAAAAAAATTAAATGGAAGTAAAAAAAAATTAAACAATAGTAAAAGAAATTAAAAAAAAAGTAAAAGAAATTAAATAAAAGTAAAAGGAATAAAATTAAAAAGAATAAATATTTTCATATGTTTGGGTTTATTTAATTAAAAAATAAATAAAATTATAAAGATAAATGAAAAAAATTGAAATATAAATAAAGAAAATTGAAATATAAATAAAGAAAATTGAAATATAAATAAAGAAAATTGAAATATAAATAAAGAAAATTGAAATATAAATAAAGAAAATTGAAATATAAATAAAGAAAATTACAAAAAAAATTGTTTTTGATGAATTTTATTTAATAATTTTATTATTTAAATATTTTCTATGACAATTTTTTGGCAATATTTAACTTTTGTGCACACTGAAAAACAGTGTGTCAAAACGACGGTTATTCCCTTGACACTGCTATTACTGTATACACTTTTGACTCCCTCAGCAATACTTGTTGTTTTAAAAAGCAATGATTAGGATTCTACTAAAACCCAAACATATGAAAGTGGATTTATACATTTCCTTTATTCTTTTGAATTGAAAACAAAGATATTAAATAAAAACAAATCATTTATTAGGTTGCTTATTTACAAAAATAATTTTATATTTACAAGTTTATAAAAAAATGTGAACCAATTAAATGTTTGATTTAACATTTTATAAAGAAAAAAATATGCAAGGAAATTTTTTTTACCCATAAATTTATAACAATGTCTGAACAAGAAAATTTACATAAACACATAACAAATATCTGTAATTATAAATTTTGAAAAAATACATTTTCCAAGCATTTTTCTCATTTTCTCTGGCCACATAATTTTTATACCTCTTGTAAATAAGCAATCTAAAGGATAAATAATTTTGTTAATTCACAAGAATAAAGAAAATGTATAAATCTATCTTCATATGTTTGGGTTTTATTAAAATTCTAATCAGTACATATTAAAACAATAAATATTGCTGACAGAGTCAAAAGTGTATAAAGTAATAGTGGTGTCAAGGGAATAACCGTCATTTTGACATCTTTTTTTTTTTTGCAGGTACAAAGGTTAAACATTACCAACTTTTTTTCTTTTTTTTTTGTTTTTAATAGAAAACGTTTTAATTTAAATTTTAATTTAAAAAGAAAAAAAAAACTCAAACTCATCGACACTTATTTCTTGATATTAACTCACCTCAAAGAAATGTCGATATCTTTTATTTTTACACAATTCCTTTAACTGATCACAGGCATGTGGGTGGTTATTACAATAGTCTGAATAGATTTCAAAACCTTTTTTCTGCAATTAAAAATAAAATAAAAATTTTATGTAATCGAAAACAACATAATACCATACATTGATAAAGAATCATTAAGAAAAAGATTTTACAAGGCTTAGATTATAGAATTGACTTACATGTTCAATAAAACAATGTCCTATTTCACTCAGGTGTAATTCATCTTTAAGACTCACTTCAAGACTCTTTAAGAATTTTTTGGAGAAAATATAAATGTCTTCAAGATTTCCAAAAATAGTTGTTGTTTTTTCTTCTGGGAACATATCTGGCCGTTTCTTAGCTTGCACCACATAACCCTGGGAAAGAATACCAAGAAAGAAACCAAAATTAGAAAAAACATGCAAAATAAAGACACTTTATGTCTTAGTAAACACATCTTCTCCTGGTGTTAGTTCAAAACTGACCTTTTTTTTCTTCTTTTTCTTAACTATTATGATCATTTTGCTAAATGTTTGTATTTTCTTGATTTGATATAAAAAAGTGGAAATTTTCCAACATATTTCCCTGAATTTTCCACTTTTCAAAATTATGATTTGTAATTACGATATATGCAAACAAAAAAAATAAAAAATAAAAACATCTAAACTAATGCCAGGAGGATTATTTAAACTGACAACTTTTTTTTTTTTTTTTTTCATATACTGTCTCCATTTTGCTAAAAGTTTGTATTTTCTTGATTTCACATTAAACCATGAAAATTTTTAACACATGATTCAGCAAAATGTTCACTTTCCTAAATTATAGTTTAGATATAGGGGGAGGAAAAAGGTGTTAGTTTAAATTGACACCAGGAGAATATTGGTTAAAACAAGATTAAAAACTAAAACATTAACATTTGTTAATTGCAGAATATAATTTCTAGAAAATCTTTTCAGCAGTAGAAAATATTTGAATGTGCAAAATATCAAGTGTATGAAGTTTCAGATTTTATAAATAGGTGGAGACTTCTCTCTTTTCTTAACTTTTTCCTTTCTACTGATAAAAAAATAAAAAGAAAAAAGTCAACCAATTAACTCTATGTTGCTTGTTTAAAAAAAAAAAAATGTCACTTTCAATGACTATAAAGAGCAGCACAGTAGCGTACCAATGCTTTTATCTTCAGGGAATATGATTTATCATTATAAACATTTCTTAACTAGTTTTGTTTTATCTTATTATTAGAGCTTCTTATCACAAATCTCTAGTTTGATCAATTTTTGAACCACAAGTGAAAATTGAAAATAAATGAAGTTCATCTCCTGAGATACGAGATGACAATTCAAGTTTTATTCAAGATTTGGTTAAGCTAAAGTAATTTACTTTTTTTCTACAAAAATATTTATATTCTTGCTTTTTATAAAAAAATGTTTATTTCCTTTGGCCAAGAAAATGAAAATTTAAAGCATAATGGATCTAAACTGGGTGTTCAATTTATAATTTATATATAATACCAAAATGGAGTATTTTTGTGTCCTCCAAAATTGATAACATGGAATGTTCAGTTTATAATCTTCTGTAGGGATTTCTGTGAAAATGACCCCTGATTTTGTATCCACCTTGATGCCTCAATGTGGATAATATGAAAGTATAGAAACCTGGAAAGAAGAAAATATATTCTATCAAGTTAATAACATTTGAGTTTATAGTTTGAAAAGAAAAAATAATATTAGCATTGACTTTTTAGGTTTCTGCACTTAAAAATAGCAGACATTGTAGCTTAACAAAAAAAACACTATTTTCACAAAAATGGACTCAAACTAAGGGTTCACTTTATATTCTTTCAAAGTGCATCAACATACATATATATTTTTCAACGAAAATACTTTTGATTAGTTTAGTTTGTTTTGCAGCATATCAAACTCAATAGACTATTTATTGCCGACAAGATTTTATTTTTTAATATTTTTCTTTTTCAAAAATGTACTGCTGGTAATAATGTACTGCTGGTGAAAATTTTTCCAAAAAATATTGCTGTATTAAAACCTATTTTTATACTTTCATAGCATTTTGACCCCTTTTTTTGGTGTGTGTGTGTGGGTGGGGGTTAACTATTTGCCCATAATGGGACCATGACAAAGTGGACCTGGGAACATCAGCAATTAAGAGGTGGTTCCATGCTCCTCGAAACCTTCTGATCAAAGGCCTTGCTGTTGGATATAGTTTATCGTCATACCCAGGATGCAAAAAAAAAAAAAAAATTTTGAATATTTTTTTGTAAATGTGTCAAATGATAAACACAGCTGCACACATTTGCTTTATATGACGACATTATGTATTTAACAGGTGGCCAATGAAAATGTCCCAACAAATTAGCTCATTATCACCAAAACAGTGACTGAATGACTTCATATCTTGGTCAAAGATTCAATAATAATTTTTTTTTGTTTTAAACTTTAAAATGTCAGATGTGTTTTTTTTTTTTAAATTCAACCACACCTGACGACATAGCCGCCTCTTTAATTTTTTTAGCCCTCAATCCAAATGTCAGAGAGTTAATTCTGCCATATTCATCATGAAGTTGATTTCCGGGCAAAAAGAAAATTTTCCACCAACCTTAAATCAGGAAATGAGATATATCTTTTATAAATGCATAAAAAAATAAAACAGTCACCCTGAACCTATATTTGATTTAAGACCCCTTCCCATAATGTTTTTATATATATATATATATATATATATATATATAATGAACACAAGTCCCATAACTCATTAGAGGCACCACATGTACTGCAGCTGCAGTAGAAGTGGTGTGTCTTTGGCAAGACAACCTGACAGAGCCCAACCTTATCCAGGTTATATATCTGATTGAATAAATTACAGACATTATGTCTGCTAATTTTTAACAAAATCCGTTCATACTCACAAATAACGTTCCGCGTATTGATGTTAAAGGATGAGACAATTTGTCAACCATTTTGCATTTAAAAACAATGAAAAATTTACGGTAATGGATAACAACACACATTTTTATATAAATACTTATACTAATGAACAGCATATAGTTTTGTATTACTTGCACCCCTGAAGATCAAAAGTACTTGGGAAATGAAAATAAATGAAAATAAAATAAATTTAAACAGCTATAGCACATTTCTCTCATCCTTTAACATCAATACACGGAAGGTTATTTGTGAGTATGAACGGATTTTATTAAAATTTAGCAGAGATAATGTCTGTAATTTATTCAATCAGATATGCCTAAAAGAGAATTTGCAGCCTAAATACACAAATATATATATACATATATATATATATATATATATATATATATATATACACACACATATATATATATGTATGTATGTATATCCAAAAGTTAAGGCAATTTTTTTTTTTTTTCAATGATATTCATCTTGTACAAGGCCCGGGAGCAACTCTAGGTAGAGGGTTACAGAGTAAGAGTCATAGTTAATGCATATATGTGGGGGAAAATGGTTAATCATAGACTTGAACAGATGACTGTAGTGATTGGGAAAATAGCTCTCATGGGAGTTGGTTCCACAAAGCAGTAGTTCACAAAAATAAGCTGCTCAGATGGAACTTACATCTCACAAATGGAATACAAAATAAATGAGAATCATTCACTACAATCAGTGAGGCATGGTAGGCCTTAGCTGTGGACATTAGAACTGGCAGAACTAAGGAATGTTGTTCGTCTGAGTACTTTCCCTGGAAATAGTGATAGAGCTTGGAGAGGCCTGTGACATTTTATCTGTGAGGAAAGGGGTTGTAGGGTGGAAAATAATTTGTCACCCACAAAGATGTGGTGACACTTTAAAACAAGGAGGGACCAACACATAGCACCACATGTGTACAGGGGATGATGAGTAGCTAGCTACACACAGCATTTTATCATTCTGTCAAGTGACATGGAGCAACAAGGTTGCGTATGGATGCTCCAATCAGCAATAACATCATTGATGAACATTGCATTATGATGCACTTTCTATGGTTAGGATAAGTCACACCTGTGGAACTCAATCAGCTGATGTTTGTGTTGTATGAATCATGCACCATGAATAAACAAAAGGTGTATGAATAGGTAGAATACTTTAAGGCGGAATGAGCAAGTGTAATGGACAAAAGCCAATATGATTTCCTATTGACATCGCACACATAAGAACATAGAGGATGAAAGGTCAACAAATCACATTAACACAATTAGAAGTGCAATCATGAGTAATGGATATGCCCTTGAAGGATGGCATAGGGCTTTTTTGCAGCAAGTGTCATCCCATCATCCTACAATATGGAAATTCTTAGATGCTCTTAAAAGAGAACAGGACTTGCAAGAAATTCATATAGCAAAAGTAAGAGCAGGTTGCTAAAATATCAAGAGCACCAGGAAATAAATGGAAAACTTAAGAAATTAGTGGCATCCTTTAATGAGTACTCTGCAGTAGTTGACTATTTGCATGCAGTATTATATAACCTAAGCTTATAAGGATTTTTTTCTTAATTGTTTTATTAACAATATTTGTATTTCACATAATTATCATTTGTGTATTTCGTCTGAATTTTTATATTGTTATTGCAATAAAGAATTTTGCATTATGAATAATCATCATTTAGTATTTATTCAAAAATTATAACATAAGCATGTTAGAAAATCACTACAAAAACAGCCATTTTGTTTCAACACTTCTGGTGTCTTATCAAGTGATGGCGTTGATTGCGAGTTTTTATCTTTTTTCAGAAGTGTTGAAGCAAAATGGCTATTTTTGTAGTGATAACATTTACGTTATCATTTTTGAATAAATACTATTTGCTCTACTCTGTATTGAGCACTCTTTTAAGAATAGTGTTTTTGGTTATTTGAATCTGTACCAATCCTATACTTGGTAATTATTATTTAGTATAATTGTCCTTTTGATTAATTTTGATTCAAACAATTTACAATTTGAATAAATGTTTTTCGAATAATTGTTTTCCAACAATGTTCATATAATCCACATACATAGAGAGGCAGTATAGTTCTTGGCCAACTCACTTCCCAAAATTTATAGTCTGATGTTTAGTCACTAAAATAGGGATTTCAGGACAGGCCAAGAACTTTTCAGCACTCCCTTGTGTGTGTGTGTGTGTGTATATATATATATATATATATATATATATACACACACACACACACATCAATTAATGATAGTTAATAAAATAGAACAATTATAACAATATACTGTAAGTAAAAGTTATGTGATGGATAGAAGCTTCATTCTTACTGTAGATCTTATTAAATGCAAGAAGAGATTAACAATAATTAATAAATGACTTATCAACCCTTTTGTGGATTATTTAAGACTGAAACATATTTTAGATTGTAAGAATAATTCTTTTTCGAAATTGCAAGTAAATATTACATTAAAATTTGTTTTTTATGGCTTATCAACCCTTTTTGGATGATTTCAAGCTGAAACATATTTCAGATTGTAATTCCTTTTCTTTTTTTCTGAGAGAATAATTGCATTAACATTTTTGTTTTTTGAAATAATCATTTTTCCAGATACAAGGCCTACTTTTTAACCCATAGCAGGGGTCAATAATTAATATTAAAATAGAACAATTAAAACAATATACAGCAATAAAAGTTATGTGATAGATAAAAGATTCATTTTTACTGTAGATTTTAGCAGCTTCAATCTATGATTTAATCTCTTTCCTTATTTTCTTTGGCAGATTTGGTTTACCAGCATCACTACTCTTGCATTTGACGAATTGTTTATTTCTGGAGTTAACTCATGTGCAACCAAAACTATAGATAGAAGTGGACTACTGTACTATATTTTTCCTTCTCCCTTGTTAATGCTGCAACATCCTAAACTAAGCATAATCTTATTCAAACTTCACACACTCAGTAACTTCTTCCATCTTAGCGGCACAAAATAATAAAGCAGAGGTTCTGACCCATGTGGATAACAACTCTCCGGATAATAACAAACTATCTAGGTATATCTAATGATTTTCACCGAGAAACTGACAAACAATTTTAAAAATAGAATTAAAATTTGTAGATTTTTTAAAAAGTATTTTTCAAATTTTTGCTAGAAAGAAAAAGGCTGAAATTTTTGTAGCGAGAATTGGATTGTTTTCAAGTTAGTATTTACTTTAATCTGCAAAATTTTCTTGTATACAGTAAGCCCACATGATGACAGAAGGGTCATAATTCTCATTATCTGGACTTACAGACTTTCATAGCACTGTGGACATTTAAATAGATTAATCTTTTAGATTTCACTCCTTGGAAATATATTTCCAGCTTAAGAGAAATTCTGAAAATTAAAGACTTGCTGATCATACTGTGGTTGATGGTCCATGAATAGTGAGGTCCTCACAGATAGTGATCCACAGACTGAGTCATCCTTCTCTAGTTTAAAGCAAACTTTTTTTTAAAAGAGATGTAATGAAAATATTTCAACCAATTTTATTTTTTACCTGCAGGACATCATCCAGTTGACGTACATATTCACGTTCTGCTGTGATGATTTCGTTGATGACATTTGTCCTTGCTTGCTCGCTGCTGACACTAAACTGATGGGGCTTACCCACATTTGGTGAACTATCCTTGCTGGCGTCAGACCCTTCTGTCTTTTGTACTTCCTGCAAATGATGTTCCTGATTTGCCCTCAACTGAAAACAAAAAAGACAATGTGAACATCACGATGCAAAAAGCTTTAAATATTTATCATCTGAAATTATTTTTAATGAAATATTTATACAATTATACAGCATCTTGCAAATTATTGGCAGTCAGCTAATTTATCATAATCATATTTTAATATAAGATGGTTACAATTGATTAAATAAGATTTTTTTCTTTACTTTTTTTAGTGTAATGGAGAGAGAGATGATCCTGAGAGAACCTACTCTCAGGGGCCAAAAAGGTGGAGGGTAATGAATGGGAGAGATTAAAACATAATAAATGAGAGCCACAATCATGTAACCCCTTACAGTCATAGGGGCACAACATGTATTGCATCTATGGCAGTAAGTTTTCCCTAATCTGATGGAGCCCAACCTTTTTCAGGGTTGTTTTTTAGTTTTCTGTCTCCTAGACAGTTTGACATCCAAAGTTATAGAACCCAGTCTGCCCTGATATTTTAACCATAGTTGGGGGGGAAGAAGAGATAGATTCATACCTTTCCTAAGGATTTTAACATGTATGTGAATGTAATGAACTCAACTGAAATTTGAACTCAGCTCTCCGATTCCTCAATCTGAGTCACTATCCATTAATCCACTGTGCCTCTGAAAGGCCGGGGGGGGTCGGAGGTTTGTGAAGGAAAAAAAAAAAAAAAAAAAGAGCTAAAAATAAATGTTCATCAATGTCACTAAGTAAAATTTAAAATATTTCCATGAAGTTTTCTCAACATTACAAATAAATATCCATAAAAATGTTTATATATTAAGATGCAGGTGAAGGGGGGCAATTATTTGTAAATTTTTTACTTATATTCTTTATACAGTGTGTAGCAGAAATACCTCCCCATAAGACATTTGTAGCAATGGTGCCTTCATCTAGCTCATGTCTTAACATTATGTGGGACATATTTCTGGAAGGAGATATTTTCTGCCACATACTGTATTAGCAGAAATTAAATATGTCTTTGCAGATGAAACACATAGAACACAAGATAATCATTGGATTTTAATTCAAACTGAAAGAAAAAAAAGACAATTTTATAATTTACAGATTTAAAAAAAATGATTTACAAATTTATATGCAAAATAAAAACACTAATATCTTTCAAATACAATTTTCTTCATGGAAAATATTTCTTTGGTCTTTTCATTTTTCTTGTTTAACCATTGCACTCCTAGATTATAAAGGGTGTGGCAGAAATACCTCATTAGCTAGATAAAGGCACCATTGTCACTAATGTCTTACTATTATGTGGGAGATATATCTGGGAAGTATTTCTGTCACTCCTTGTACAGCTACCTAACTCTGGGTAGAAAAAATAGTTGTCTGTGGCTAAATACAGTTTATGGTCAACATATACTATATTTATTAAAGGTTTGCCATAAAATTATCAAGAAGAATCATTAATTGATCCATAGATAATAGCATGATTGTATTTAGTGACTCAAAGCGTACATTCATTTTCAGCTAATATATTAAAGAGTACATTCTAGTAGACAATGAGAATGTTCAATGGAAGGGGGAAAAGAATCAACAATTAAAATTCTCCAATTGTATTCTCTACCAAAAATCTAGTCTATTTTGGGTCAGACTAAATAAAGAAAAAGGAAGTTAACCATAAGATTCTTCAGTTTGATGAATAAAGAAAAAAAAAAAACCAAAAAACAATAGTGCCTCTTACCCGGACAAAGTTGGCAGGGAACCATCCTTCCTTGTCATCAAGGATCCCCCACCACCAGTCCTTGTCTAGCATGTCTGTCACTTTGATGACATCCCCAGCCCTGAAGGCAAGTTCATCAGGGTCCATGGTGACATGGTCCCATAATGCTTCAGCATATGTGAGATTCTCTGTCTCAAATATCTGTAAAATATAACATTTATAAACATTCAGAATAAACAGGATCAATTTAAACAGTGACAAAAAACAAAAGAATAATGAATATTTTATAACAGGACAATCACTATTATAATAATTTTGATAGCTGCTTGTGGGTATGTTACAGTAATGCAGCAAAAACAGCACATCATAGCAGGAATCGTGCTCACTCAATACCAGCTCCAAACTTCTTACAATCTCTTTTTGTTAAAACAAATTTGTTGCAATATATTTTTATACTATTTGGTAAAAGAATTTTCTCATGAAAGAGAGGTAGGTAGGTAGACAGAAAGAAAGAAAGAGAAAGAGAAAAAAAGAAACAGAGGTTGGTAGAGAGAGAGGTGGAAAATAGTATACAGAAAGAATTAGTCAATTCACAAATAAATGTAAATTTATAAGAATAAAAAAAATGAATTCAAATCAAATTTTGGCAAACTGAAATCAATGTGTTTTTTTTGGGGGGGGAGTTGGGTGCAGAATCAAAATTTTATCAATGTTACTGAATAAGAACTGAAAGAGAATTGAATATTTTAAACAAAATCTTTTTTCAGTTAAAACTGCAAAAATGTCACATTTATGAACAATTCAAAGTTCCAATGCAACTCACCGATATTCCATCTCATTATGACTAAAACCATATTTACTTTACAATGGTTATCTTGGTTTCAATATTATTATCAATTTTTATTGTTTATTTTTATTGCCCTAGTCTGAACTACTTTTTATGAATATCAACAGTGAGTGAAAAAAAAAAAAACCTACTTGAATAGTTTTAGTTATCTCCAAGTCCATGTAAAATTCACTTCCTCTTAGGCAGGTAATTATCAGGAATCAAAGTCCAATATCTATTTATCTTCAGATCTCACCTGACAAATCATTTTTCTTATACTAAAGTTCACCCAGTACAAGGCCCAAGAGACACTCAAGTTAGAGTGCTACTATGTGGTGTTGTATGAGTGTAAGAAAAGGCAAGAAATGAAGTTCACTGGGTTATGTAGGAAAGATAACAGTTAATCTAAGACTTGAAGAGATAATGATTGGGAAAACACCCAACCAAGAGTCTATTCCACAAAGCAGCCTTTCTTGGGAAAAAGCTCTCCAAGTAGAACTTACTTCTTACTATTGGAATACAAAGGGAATGGGGATGATTCACACTTGTGTATGTGGCGTAGAGGGTCCCACTTGTGAAGATTTGGGGTGGTGTGGCTAAATAATGTAGTTTGTTAGAACACGTGTCCTGGAAATAGTGATGGTACAGCAAGAGGCTTTCAAGGTTTCATTTATGGAAATGAGATTGTAGAAAATAATTCATCACCGACAAGTCCACATAGATGCCTTAGAACTCTATCAAGTGAGGCCTGGGCATGAGTATTGCTGTCGTATCTGGATATGACAGCAATACTCATTGAAGGTTTGATTGGTCATTCCAGGCATATAAATCCCATAATTTTAATTCTGCAATCATTATATATAGAAAATAAATATGCGAGTTAAATAATATGAATGAAATATTCATGAAATAAAAGTAAAGGTTTTGACATTTGCAAATTATAAGTTTTTCTTTTTTAATGAAATACGAAAATTCACTGAAATTGGAAACAAAAACAACTGTTTAGATTTTTTATTCAGTAATCTTGTTTATCTTTTTAACCTTGAAGACTCTTTGTGGAGCCTGAAAGAGCTGCAAAGACACCAATTATTGATGCACTTTCAATAGCAAGTCCATTGTACTAGGGCCGCTGGAGAACTGAAGTACAAGTTACCATTTTTGTAGTTGAAAATACAGCGTTACTCTTTTTCAAGCAATGTTTACAGAAAATATTTGTGTAAGTGTGAGAGAGAGACTATATAAAAGAAATGTGTGTGTGTGTGTGAGAGAGAGAGAGAGAGAAACAGAAAGAGAGAGACTATATAAAGGAAATGTGAGAGAGAGAGAAAGAGAGTCATGTATTGAAAGAAGCATGATCGCCTAAGTGTGATCACACATGGATCATAACCGAGTGATGAGAGAGGCCATTTAAAGAAAATGTGCGAGAGAGAGAGAGGCTATTTAAAGGAAATGTGCGAGAGAGAGAGAGGCCATTTAAAGGAAATGTGCGAGAGAGAGAGAGAGGCCATTTAAAGGAAATGTGCGAGAGAGAGGCCATTTAAAGGAAATGTGCGAGAGAGAGAGAGGCCATTTAAAGGAAATGTGCGAGAGAGAGAGAGGCCATTTAAAGGAAATGTGCGAGAGAGAGAGAGGCCATTTAAAATAAATAAAGTAGAGAGAGAGAGGCCATTTAAAGGAAATGTAAAGAGAGAGAGAGAGGCCATTTAAAGGAAATGTGGGAGAGAGAGAGAGGCCATTTAAAGGAAATGTGAGAGAGAGAGAGGCCATTTAAAAAATGAGAGAGAAAGAGAAGCCATTTAAAAAAGCGAGAGAGAGAGAGGCCATTTAAAGGAAATAGAGAGAGAGAGAAGCCATTTAAAGGAAATGCTAATTTAAAGAGAGAGAGAGAGAGGCCATTTAAAGGAAATGAGAGAGAGAGAAGGCCATTTAAAGGAAATGTAAAGGAGAGAGAGAGAGGCCATTTAAAGGAAATGTGCGAGAGAGAGAGAGGCCATTTAAAGGAAAATGTGAGAGAGAGAGAGAGAGAGAGGCCATTTAAAGGAAATGAAAAGAGAGAGAGGCCATTTAAAGGAAATGTAGAGAGAGGCCATTTAAAGGAAATTTGCGAGAGAGAGAGAGAGAGGCCATTTAAAGGAAATGTGAGAGAGAGAGGCCATTTAAAGGAAAATGCCATTTAAAGAGAGAGAGAGGCCATTTAAAGGAAATGTAAGTAGAGAGAGGCCATTTAAAATAAATGTCGAGAAGAGAGAGAGAGAGGCCATTTAAAGGAAATGTGCGAGAGAGAGGCCAGGAAAATGAGAAGAGAGAGGCCATTTAAAGGAAACAAGGAGAGAGAGGCCATTAAAGGAAATAAAAAAGAGAGAGAGGCCATTTAAAGGAAATGTGCGAGAGAGAGAGAGGCCATTTAAAGGAAATGTGAGAGAGAGAGAGAGGCCATTTAAAGGAAATGTGTAGAGAGAGAGAGAATGCCATTTAAAGGATTTAAAGGAAGAGAGAGAGAGAGAGGCCATTTAAAGGAAATGTGAGAGAGAGAGGCCATTTAAAGGAAATGTATAGAGAGAGAGAGAGGCCATTTAAAGGAAATGTGCGAGAGAGAGAGAGGCCATTTAAAGGAAAAAAGGAAATGAGAGAGAGAGAGAGAGAGGCCATTTAAAGGAAATGTTCGAGAGAGAGAGGCCATTTAAAAAAATGCGAGAGAGAGAGGCCATTTAAAGGAAAATGCTAGAGAGAGAGAGAGAGGCCATTTAAAGGAAATGTGAGAGAGAGAGGCCATTTAAAGGAAATGTGAGAGAGAGAGGCTATTTAAAGGAAATGTGAGAGAGAGAGGCTATTTAAAGGAAATGTGAGAGAGAGAGGCTATTTAAAGGAAATGTGCAAGAGAGAGAGAGGCTATTTAAAGGAAATGTGCAAGAGAGAGAGAGGCTATTTAAAGGAAATGTGCAAGAGAGAGAGAGGCTATTTAAAGGAAATGTGCAAGAGAGAGAGAGGCTATTTAAAGGAAATGTGCAAGAGAGAGAGAGAGGCTATTTAAAGGAAATGTAAATTTTTTTTTGTCTGAATTTCTGGAATGAAGTCTTATCTATACTATTTACATGCTGACCTCATCTTTTTTTGTTGTTATCACAACATACCAAATGTATATCAATCCAGATAACCTACAGGGAATTCTGAACTGAACCCTTTATTCAATCTATAGGGATAGACTGTTCTCATTCCACTGCTCACATCTATCTATATGTAATTGCAAAAAGTGAAGATAAGAGAATAATGAGAATAAGTAACAATTGACCCTTGACCTTAGAGGTTAGAAAGTTCAAGAAAGCATCAATGCGGGAGCCTGATTCACAAAGTAGTGGTTCTTGGTGGAAAAAGTCAAGTGGTACTTCCTCCTTACAATTAGAGGATGCTAATATAACTGCTAAGTTATTTAAAAAGAAAAAAAAAAAAAACTAGTATCACAAAAAGGCGAATGAAACTGGAAATTGTATTCTTATCGCAATACAGCAGCAGAATGTGAAAAAGTGCTGAAGAATTCTCAATCATGTGGAATGCATAGAAACACATTTTTTTTTAAAAATTCAGACAAAGAAAGTTGGTGTTAACCCTAAAAGTATATAGTCCGAGGATTTAGCAACTAAGCCAAAAGAGAAGAATCAAAAACATTAAAGGAAATGTATTGATGAAAAAGAAAAAAAAAAAAAGAGAGAGAGAAAATTAACAAGAACGCTGTATGAATAAAGATATAAATATAAATAACATATGTAAAATAAATTAAAAAAAAAAAGATTTAGGGAGAATTGCAAGCTTAACTTATAAAGTTATACAGGGATTGGCTACATCAGCACAAAACTTGACACTCTTTTTCCAGAAAAAAATTCAAGTAAAAGAATAACACATTCATTCGTTTTTTGATAAAAATTGTCCACTGAAGAAAAAAAGTAAAACTAAAACTTCAACAGAATTTCAATCACCATTAGAACAATTTAACTCATTTTTTCTATGTTGTTGTTGTTTATACTGTTACAATATTCCAGCCAATCCATTCTACAACCTTCTTCAGATGTAAAAAAAAAAAAAAAAAATGTAGACCCTAACATTATTAGTGCAAACCAGAATGAAATACAAAAGGTAATAGTATCTGTTAGTGTCTCAGCTATAAGCAAATAGTGATCCCCTCTCCACCCCCTCGACCAAACACAAAACAAAACACTATAAAAGTATAAAAATACACACAATATACTTTTATATAAAAAAAGGAACAAAAATACATATTTATAGTAAAATGAACAGCAATACATTTTATCAATAGTTGAAGGCATAAAATTGTGTTCAAAACATGTAGATTTCAACATTAACTAACACATAGTTGATATGCCACTAAACAAAATCAAACAAACATGAAAGAATTCATTACATTAATCCATATAATATCCTACAATTTCTTAAAGAAATTAAGCTGTATTCCAAAATACAACTTCAAAACATATAACTCAGCCTCTAGTAATTATGTCCACACAAACATGTATATACGCAAAAGATGAGTATCACCTACCATCTATTCAATTGTGAAAGCAGAATAACATTTTTATTACTTCAAAGCTCCCAAGAAAAATTTTGTTGTTTATCTGGCCCATAAGGAGTTGATGTGCCATTAAACAAATAAAACAATTCTTTTTAATACATGTTTACTCCTCAATCCTTTCCAAGCAAAACCACATGAACTTGACTTATCTATTTATCCAAAAGGCTAATGTCGACAGCTTCTTTTTACTTCAATCATCTCACTTGTTATGTTCCCTATATATTACATGGAAGAATATATATAAATTTCTATATATCAGAACACTTTACTAAGGCAAAAATGTATAGAATGTACACTGATTTCTGAGTTTTCCATAGTAAATTTGCATCTTGATTCTCACAACATTTCACTTTTCTTAGCAAATTTTCTGTTGTCAGTGCAGAATATTTAAAAACAACAGCAATAAAAACAAAAGTGTCTGGAAACGAAACAAGATGTGCAACTAGACACATCAGACACTAGAAATTTTAAAACTAAACATCCTGACATCTTCAAAGTTTCTCCTCGGGGCATAATTATAATTTCACCCATCCCTGACATATATATATATAATTCTATCAATAATAACATTACTTTAGCCCAGTGATTCCCAAAGTTTTTTTTTTCTCTGGGCCATATTTTCAGAATTAAAATTTACTTGCACCTCACCAAATTTTTTGTGATAAAAAATTACATTTAAAAAAAAAAAAAAAAAAGCAGAGAACAGGTTAAAGGGAGATAACCATGGATTCAAAGTCAGATATATTATGATTGATAACTCTCTCCTCCAATTTATGGAGCCTAGTTACTATATTTCTAAATACTTGATATAATGCAAAAATATCACAGTGATAAAATCAGTCTATAACTATTTATACTGGGACTCACAAATGCAATTACAAGTAATCCATAATAATATTTAAAATTTTTTAAATCATATTTATTTTTGGAATATGAATTTTTTTTAAACTGCTTTTAAATCTTTGATTGTCTTTCAATCATTCAGCCTCACCTGCTATCCTCTTCTGTTGCAACTTTGATGCACACCACACCATTTGAGAACTACTTTAGAAGGACAAAAAGTGTTAACGACCCCCCCATTTTGTCATTCAGTTATCATCATCAGGTTTTTTCTGCAAACTGCAGTTGGCAGACCATGCTAGAAAACAGGGATCATTCTGTTGCCATAGTAACTAATCTTCTCTTGTAGTCATCAATTCATCTTTCAGTGTTGTCTGACCATATAGTGGCAATGGCAGAATTCCTTCTCCTCTCCCTATATGGCTGAACAATGCTGCTTTTACTCTTACTATTGTAGGATAGAGAGATAATCGCAGATGGCCATATTAACAAATTACATCCAAGTTAACAGGGACCGCAATGATAATGCTTTCTACTTCACTATTCAATATGTATTTCTTATTGTTTAGGACTGATAGGAAATAAAGAACATGAAAAGCTAGACATGAATTCCAGCTGAAACAATTCCTTCTGGGAAAGTGCCTCGATTTCAACAATGGCCCAAAATCAAGCATCAAAGATCTTGAGAATTTAAAAAAGAATTGAGGCAAAGAAGTTCTAATCTGCAAAAGAACATTTATCAGAAATTCAAGAAGTAGGAACAGGGAGGAAAAAGATTCCAGATATATTAAATATTTGGCAACAGTAAGTCTATATTAGAACATCATGGTGGATTTCAAATAATGCAACCTCATTATAGAATTATGAATGACAAAGTTGGCATACACTACTTCAAACACAGAATTCAAATACTGCAATTTGGAAAACTGCGGCGACTTCCTGTCTCTTATTTAATTATTCAGTTACCACAAGATTGTGTGTGTATGGGTGTGTGTGTGTGTGTGTGTGTGGGTGTGTGTGTCAATTGTCCCTCCACCCATTTCTGGCTTAGTTAAACAGACTTGACCTGCTCGCAAAACTGAAGAATGGTTTAGTTTTTAAAGAAGTCAAGGCCTCAAAAAACGCACAAATATTTCTAAGCCTGGGAGTACTTAGGAAAAACCCTTTGAAAGTTTCTGTTTATTTTTTAATAAGCAACATCGAATGCTGACTACTTCTATCCCAACCTTGTACTAATAAACAACTTACATGTTATCTACACTATGGCAGATTTTATAATGTCAATGTTTTCAGAAAATTATTGCTCAATTCATTCATTTTCTATGGCTTATCAACACTTTGCAGGTTATTTAAAGCCAGAAAATATTTTTAGATTGTAAGAATTTTGAGGAGGAGATAATGGTTTTAGTGAAACAAGCCTTACTAATTAACCTATAGCTACGGGGAGAAGAGGTAGATAAATCTAATCAGAATTTGATAAACAAACAAGAAATTATATAATATATATATATATATATATATATATATATATATATAGATAGATAGATAGATAGATAGAATATAAAGTGGGGGATCAATTCTATATTACAATAAATATATAAACTGATCGCTCATTTTGCAACCCTGGTATACATTTATCTTCTAGAGGATGTAAAATCTAAAAGACATGCCTGTGTAGCTAGTAAGTGTTTGAACAATTCATCCATTTTCTATGGCTTAACCATTTGCTGGTTATTTAAAGCCAGAAAATA